ATGAAAAACAATATCCATCGTACATTTCGAAAGGAAGCTTTGGAATGATTAGTTTCGCAACATACGCGAAATGTGTTAGGGAGAAAATGATTGTGTTGGGTAGGAATCCAAGGTTATATGGAAGCACGCAATGATGTTTCTTTTATGGATTTATTCACAGATATTACGAAATAGTAAAGAAAATAAACAGAGTAATGAGACAAATTATACCAATGTTATAATTATACCAAATTATATCATTAAATTATATAGATTATATCACTAAATTACATAAATTATATAACTAAATTATATCATTAATTTATATCATTAAATTACATAAATTATATCGAAATTAATAATGTTAAATTTATATTGAATATTTGAGAAATTTATCAGTCAATATTAACAATATCAGGTGCGTAGAACAACTATATGTAGGGTTATTCATAATTCTCTCCGAGATTTCGCAGCGCTGAAATAAAAATAAACAAAGCAAAAAAGAACATGGGAAAGAATACAGAAAAGAATCAAGTTTTATTTACCGTAAAATCTGGCGTATAACGCGAACTTTTAACAAAATATAAAATCGAAATGTACGATTGCGCGTTATACGCCGGGTATGAAAATGATAACTTTATAACCTGTACTCTCAAAAATAACAACGGCGGCTAGCTCAAATAATTTTAATTGGTGGTACATTCTGATTGAGCACAGATACAAAAATACAAAAAAACAGTTAATACAATGCAAAAACTAAGGGGGTTTGCACGGGTGGACATTGGCACGTCCTTTCTCCACCGAGGTGGCAGGTTGACTTATTACTTGTCCTTACGGCCAGGAGAGGGCGCTCTGTTACCATCTTTTGCCATTCGTTACAACTTCAAAAAAAAAAAAAAAAAAAGAGGTGTGCATAAAAAAAATCTTAGTCTTCTACAAAGATCGGAATACTGTTTATTTAAAAGAAATGTCATACCTTACGAACGTACACACACACAGGGTTGTTTTTCTAAATATACTATATTTTTTTCAAAATCCTGGGGTAATACCTCGAATTAATGGCCTTAAAACATTATAGCATTGCTAACGTACATTATAGGTTCCTTAGTAAAAAAAGGGGGTGAGCGTTATACAACGAATATACCTTCAAATTAAAAAATACAGCTTGACAGTATAGGTGCGCGTTATACGCCGGATTTTACCTTATAGATTTTACAGGTGTTCTATGTGAACCCTTGGCCACAAGGCATTCATCCATGTGATAGCATAGTTCCTGTCTCACTCCATTCAGCATAGTACTATCAAAGTTATTGACAACACGTGTTATCCTTTTCTTGTTATTCATGTTATCCGAAAACTTGATCTTTTACATCAGATCCAAGTTTTCGTATCCCCTTTGCAGCGTGATTTCACAGAATTACATAAAAGCATAACACGTGCTGTCAATAACGTCGATAGCACTATGTTTAGTATAGTATGGATGAGTGAGTAAATATTAACGTCGCTCTGGTCAGCTACTCAAGGGCTTTTGGGGACGGACATCGTAATTTTGAACCATGGTTAGGTGTCGAGGATAACTCTTGGGCTGGCACCCCCTCTTCTAACTACCATACCACACCAATGGAGTAGAGTAGTGCAGGAACTTGACTATTGCATTGAAGTAAAATGCCGTGAGACAAAGGTTTCAACGCCTGTAAAAT